GATATCGGCGGCAGCTTCAACAAAGCGCGGTGCCCGGATACCGACTCGTAGGCGTAATTGGTCTGGATATCCGCCGCCAGCCGTATGGGGTTCTCAAATGTGGTGTTCTCAGCTGGTGTCGCATGCATTTGATGTCATGCAGATGAACTACCTTAAGCTTAAGCCGCCAGGTAATCAAGCCGCTTCGCATGACAAATTTACGAAGGGCTAATCAGCACCTAAAAAAATATGTCCCAAATCTGTGATGCGAAAGCAGCAACATCTGCAGCAAGCTTGTCCCTTTGACTGTTGCTGTGCTTGAATTACAAATTCATGTAACAATTGAGAATGTAACATTTGAGAGTCGCTGCATAAGGCGCACCAGCGGCGTCGAGCGATTGAGCCCCTCCGTTTCCTCTTCGAACCACGCGTTGGCGGACGCGGCCGACCCCTCCTTGCCGGCGGCCCCCTCCAGGGCATCCCACATGGCACGGCGCTCCTCCTGCTTGCGCTCCTTCTCTTCCTGTTCCGCGAAGATTTTCTCGATTTCGCGGGAGGCGAGCTGGCCGCGCGCGGTCCTGTCCATCGGGTTCTGCCGCGGCGCCGCGTATGCATTGCAAAAGTATCGTACTCGAACTCGTATAAATGCATTACAAATTTCCTCAGCATGAGAAATAAAATTCGTAATGCAGATTTGCCTTGGAGACAAGATTTGTAATGCAAGACTTGCATTTGAATTTGTACAAGTACGAGTACGATACTTTTGCACAGGATACCGCGCTGCGCATCCCGAACCGGTCCGCAAACAGGGCGGCGACCGTATCGCGAGGAAAATTGCCCCCACCCCCAAAGTTGCAAAAATTTGTGATGCGAAGTTTCCAAATGAAAACTTTTGAGACGGGTACGTGCTGAGGCCCAGACTTTTAATCGCGATGGCACGCTGAAGGTTACTATTTTTGCGTCGAGCATACCGTCGGGGAAAACAGGGGGCCCCCGCCTCCCGCCCTTTCGCCCGCTGGGTATCCTCCCCACAGGGGGGCCCCCGTCCCCGGCTCCCGCCCTCCCGCCCGCTGGGTAGCCTCCCCACCGGGGGGCCCCCGCCTCCCGGCCCGCCCGCAGGGGGGCCCCCGCCGGCCTCTCTCTTTCACTGGCCACGCGCAGGGGGCCCCCGCCT